CCTTCCTTTTGACCTGATGGAACTTTATGATGTTCACATTGTAAGCAAGATGATACATTTTTCTTTGTAAATCGAAGAGAAAGAATTTCTCGAATTCGCTTTATCTCTTAGTCGTTGCTATGTATAGTTGCAATCCAATCGGTTGCCTTTATTTGCAATACGTCAATCACGTGTGTATCAGTAACGTCAGTGTCTTTAGTTACCGGAGCACGACTCAGAGCATTCACATGAGCCATACGTGCGCCTGCCCTAGTCGATAGTACAGTCGTACTCCAGCAGCTGAACCTACCATCGCGCAATCCTCCAAAGACACTAGCAAGTCCTATAAAACGTCTCACCTCATGTAAGTTTTTGGGTACAGAAAATTTGCATCTGTTTTACGAGATCCGCGTCGTATGCCATCTCCAGACACACAAAACTGAAAAATCTATCTCCCTTTAGAAGAAATGGCACTTCTTTAAGTGTAAGCCTTGGATTAGCTAAATGCTGGAGAACTTCTTCGAAACGTTCCAATAAGCCATTGTTAAAAGTCCTAGCGGAAATCCGGATATGATCCATGTAAATGACAACGTATTTTAATCAGAGAAAACTTTGTTCATAACTCTTTGAAAAATTGATGGGGCATTAGCTAACCCAAAAAGACATTCCTTTATGGTATTGACTGTCAGGTGTGTTAAAAGCCGTTGCCTCTTGTGGATCCTTTGCTATAGGGATTTGGTAGTAACCAGATGGAAGATCAAGACTGATGAAAAGAGATTTGACCGACAATCTATCTAGTTGGCCGTCGATCGTCGATGATTTCAATCTCAATATCTCATTATCAGATAAGTGACTACCATAATAAAATTGAGATCGGAACTCATGTCGTTTTTGCTAATATCTAGCATGTTGATCTCAAAACCTTTTCCGAAACTGAAAGCTCGACTAACTAATGTGGTTTTACTTAGCAAAAGTGAATGGTCACTAAAATTTAGGACTAGAAGTGCTCCTAAACTATTTAAAAAAATATATTTATCAGGTAATAAGTAAAATTCCTTACCAGGCTGTATTCTTAATAAACCCATGGCATAAATAGACCCAAAGCAGCTTCTGTCCCAAAAGACAGGAACCACAGGCTTTTGGTTTGGTTAAATTCAACATCCGTCTTAAAAAAAACCGCATTTGTTAATCGCTTTCTTGCTAAAGATTAAGAATCTGAGGTTTTTGAGATAATGATACTAAGTTTTTCAGTAAAGCTGTGACCAACAACCACACGTTATTTAATAATACCATCTTCAACTATGTAAACGTCGACCGTCTCTACGATGTTACTAATTTTCATTCTCATACATGCCTTCCCATTGGAACAACTATATATTACCCAATCCCCTCGTAACTGGTAACTTGCCTACTGACCAAGTAACTCCTTATGATTTTACTAAGCTACATTGTATCGTTGTGCACTGACTGCCTAAATCTACGTATCCTCTAACTAAAACATCGTTAATCTTTAATTAAATCATACATTTGTCATTACTAGCATCTTTAACATCGACTTTCATGACCTTTTTTTTCTATACTAATATCCTTACTCTTTTCATTAGACAGTTGCGGGCAATCAATTGTTACATGGCCAATCCTCTTACAAATGTTACATCTGCGTAACTTTTGTGGGCACTTAACACTGAAATGACCTACTTCTTTACAGTTAAAACATGTCATTGTCATCGTACTAGATGGTGGTTTAGACGTCTTGGAGTCATTTCCAACTGATTGTTTAGTGATAAAGTTTGAATTTACTGATGATATATGGTAGGTATTTTTATCTTGGCCAATTTTAGACTTGTCAAAATCGCGACTTTGTTTAATGGATTGAAAGTAATTAAGAACCTCTTCAGGTTCTTGACATTTCGCTGCTTTAGCACCAAGTCTTAAGGAACGATCCTCAATGCCATACAGCAGGCAATCAACGGCACGTTTCCCGAAAACCTCGCATCGATTCAGTAGGTTTAATTTTTCGTAATAATATAATTCTAGCGATTCATTGTATTTCACGCGTTTATTCAACATTTCAGTAAGAAGTTCTGCGTAATCATCACTACTAGGAAAGGAATCAATTAATTTACTTTTCCACTCAGGCCACGAAAATGACATTGAAGGCAACGCTTGGTACCACGTACGAGCCACGCCCGCAAGTCTGGGCAGCGCGTAGTGAATAATCTGATCATCACCCCAACGGTATAGCTTTGCACATTCGTCGACCTTATTTAGCCACATGTAGACCGTCTGACCTTTGATCATGGGGTCGAATTCAGGAATAACATTACCCAGCATTGGAAATTTATTTCCTTCTGGCTTCGCGGCTGACAAAGATTTTAATAACTCGTTCAAAAATAATTGAGTTTCGCTGTTAGCAAACATAGATTTGCTTACCTGGGTATTTTCGCGTGATGCATTACTTACTACGGTGTTCGATGAGCTGCCTCGGTTGGATAGCCGCCTCCGGGTACTGGTACGCCTTTGCTCGCTCCGTTTCATCATCAGACTTCGACGTGAACGACGCTCAGCCTCGCAGCTACGATTCTGAGTTCGCCAATGATGACCACCAGCTCGTGTTCGGGATCTATTCCTCTCGTCCTGTTCACTCTCACTCCACTCCATCGTTAGGCTTCGGCGCGAACGACGCTCAGCTTCACAGCTACGTTTCCGGTTTCGCCGACGCCGTCTATCAGTCCGTGTTCGAGATCGACTCGTCCTGCCCTGGTCACTTGAACCGCTAGGCGTACTTCTTTGCTGCCTGCGACGTTTCTTCTCCCTCAAGTAGTTTTTACTTGCTTCATCATCGTAGCGACGCTTGCGTTTCTCACTCATAATAGGTGTACGTATATAAGACCGACTTCTTCGTGATTCGCCATGGTCACAGTCCATTTTAAGAATTTTTTTCAAAACTCGTGGTTGATTGTATGTTCAAAATTCTTTGTCGTTTTTATTTCCTTTTATTTTTCAAAACTCGTGAGCGTTTTGTAGTAATCCCACTTCTGAGTTGTAGAAACTAGATCTTAACTCAGAAATAAAACAATGAATACTTGAATATTCTACGTTATATTTATAATTATTCAAAATATATATCCTTAATGTTGAATTCAACACCGTTCGAATTCCCGCCAAAAATCAGAGTCGTCACGGTTAAGGTCGATATCTGACCATAACTATTAAATTAGTCGACTATTACTTTAGTGTCGGGTATCACTTTTATATAATAAAATACAAGACTGTTTACTTGTCTATGACCACTGTCATAGACAAGTAAACAGGTATCTGTAGCGACAGATACCTGTCACTTTACAAATAACAACAATTGGACAATGAGTTTACAATAATACTATTAGCCTTACACTATAGGCTTTAAAATAAATAATTTGACTTTTGACTATTGTGAGTTGGTTTCCTACGCGAAAAAAGGCTTGGCTCCTACAAATTAATGTACTCTTTAATACAACTTATTTTTGTTACCTATTGTGTCTAGCCTTTTTACTTGAGCCATGCTTTTAAGTGTGGGAAAGCCATGCTTCGGCACGAATGGGTCGGCTTAACCGGAGTGATACCACGGCCTCAAAACATCCACAGTGTTGTGTTTCGCCGTGTGAGTGAGGTTACCGGAGGCCCAATCCTTCCCCTCCCCTCATCCCTCCCCAGTTCCTAAATCTCCAAATCCCCAATCCCTAAAAGGTCGGCAACGCACTCGTAACTCCTCCGTCTGCTTGTTTGCCGAACTATTACATAAAAATAAAACTTGAATGTTAGAACAAGCTTGCAAGTCTGCACAGTCATTAGATATGGCAACCTAATTAATTATCTGTTACTAATTTACTAAAACAAGTTTATTTATGATTATTTAGTAACTATCTTGTATCATTTATAAATTGTGAATTCGCTTTGTGGCCTGTGGCTTCATGTTGTTGTTGTGGTGGTCAAGGAAACCGGTTCTCATGGATGACGGTTTGAAACTTGGCAAGTACCAATGTGACTTTTTCCTAGTTCTATGTACTTTCTATTTTTATTTAGATACTGGTACAAACTGAAGAAAGTTAAACAACTACAGCAAGGAAAACCATAGGATTTCTAATTTTTAATTATAAGTTTATAACTGCCAGTCTGCCTTGAGCAAGCATGGTGATTAATGCTCAAACCTTCTCCGTGTGAGTAGAGGCCTTTGCTCAGCAATGGGCACTTATAGGCTGATTATGTGTGATATGAATTTGCTTTTGTGATATTTAGGTATTAAATTGGTAATAATAGTCACTAGACAATAGATAGGTAAATAAAAAGAAGTTTTTAACTACCGTACCGTAACCAGTTTTTTTAATATTTATGGTAGATCAACTTATGTTGTCATAGACTTGATTTAATATTTATTTTATTTTTAAAATTATTTGTTCTTGTTTGGCAACCAGATTTTGTTGTACCAATTCAATGTTGATAACATTTACTACTAGAATTAGTTACCTAAAACATAATAATTGTTTTCAATTGTTTCTTTGGGGGTTATTTTATTTCTAGTTTATTTATTTTTATTTTCTATAATTTTTCTTTGTAAACAAAAAAATGAAACAATTAATAAATAACAAAATAAGTAATGATATTACCTAGTAAATATTAAAAAAGTAACAATATTTATCATTGTTGATTCAACTTGGTTTGTTTAACTTTTATCTATTTTTTTTCTTCGCCTCGCTGGGCATAGATCACAATCAAGTTTTTTTCCACACAATGGATTCTATATTCAAACGTTTCGCAACTAATCACTAATCAGACAACAATAAACAAGTCAACACAATTAAGTTTTAAAGTTACTGTTATAGTGAATATTTACTTATTGTAGTTTTATGATCTTTACCACGAATTCCCGACATAATGACGGAATCACTGATAGCAAAATGATATCCAAATTGATTCATAGTACAATTTATTACGACATCGAAGAAATCAAGTTGGAAGAAATAAAAACTTAATCAACATACCTTGTGATCCTAAAACTACGATTTTCGCTTCAATAACTTTCATTTTGCACACAAACACTGTAACACAACAGATATCACGTGTTTATTTACACTTTACATTGTTTTCGTAGCATTTACTAAAGTGAATAAACGATTAAATATTAATTAACGCGGAACATGTTTCTCTCTCGCCAACTTTTACAAAACTAAAGTTTGTAACGAATATAAATTGAATAAAATAAGAATACTTCTCTGAATAGGTAATTTAATATGTGATAACGACCGTTCTAAATTGGTCGGATAATATGGGGTTGACTGATTGCATCGGCAGCGACATCTGTGAGTCTTGCTGTAAAGTAAAATGTTGTGGATTTTTGTCTATGGTAGAATTCAAACAGAACCGTGCTTGTAGTAATAATTGATTGCTTCAAATGCAGATGGCGTTAAAATACGTAGCCGAATACAATAGTATGAGAAGCAAAAAAATATAAGGTTTGAGGTAGTACCTATATAGGTGTGGCTTACAAATAATAATCTAACAAAGAACCTTTAAAGATTGGTTAGTTTAAAATCAATTTAAATCAATGCATAGATAAACAAGCAATTACCAATAAAAAATAATTGAGTACCTAGTACTATTAAATATAATAATATTGAGTACTTATTAAAACTTTTTTTACTCCTTGTCAAATACTTAACTAAATCTATCAAGAAAATACTATTAGAAATAATTAATTATTAATCGTAAAATACGTACCTATCATCTAGTTTCTGAACATAAAAATGATTATAGGCCACTTACTATCCCAACGTTTATGGCAATAAGACTCAATAGTTTACGAGTAATATTAAGTTTATAGTGATTGCTATAAGATGGGCGAGGGCACTGAGATTGAGTCATAAAATTATATTTAATAGACAACAAGAGAAGATTCGATGCGATTTTAACTAGATGCTATCAAATCTTCATCACCTATAATCCATATTCTATACTTTTAACATAATTAATTTTTGTATTGTGGTACGGTAAGAACAATAGGTGCACGAACGCCGGCGTTGCCGTGTAATGAGACTAAAATCACTAGGTATCATTACCTACATAGGTAGTTTAAAACAAAACTCGAATAATGTTTAAATCTTTAAAACTAAGTACGCAACAAATTGTGATATTGTTTATTTTAATACATAGGTAGAGTGATTGTAGAGGAAGGTTCATAATGTACCTATAATGTCACCCATTAAATAGTGGAACTCTTGTAAGTATTTAAATATGGCGGAATTCGAAGTCACCTGTGTCTCTCACCCACACTGGAGTAAGATTAAAACAGTCTTACTTTGAATGTTAAGGTTACCCCCCTGTAGGTATAGGTAATGGGAGTCTGACTGGGGATTGAAAGGCTGGCTTCTGTTCTTCTGCATCCTTGAATTTTGAAAAGAATAGTATAAGTTTTTTTGCTTTATGTACGGAGGGCCATATTTGCGAATGTAAATACGCTCTTAAATAACGTGGAAAAAAAAATGTATCAGCATTATGCTCCTTCCCTTCCCGTAGGTGCCGACCATGAAGGTATTATAGACTATAGATGCATTAATAAAGAGAGCTCTCTAAACGACTCAGACCTTTTGTTTGAACTAAGAATTGGGTTGTGAAGCTGATTGAAAAAGAGTAACCATAGAGTTTCTTGCTCGGTATTTTTCACTGAAATTTTAACATCGGAAGGCGCGAATAGCTTCACTAGAGGACTGGTCAATACACTGACACTTTTGATTTTAGTTTAAGGGTCAAAATAGCTTTATAGCGGCAATGATATTATAAGTAAAAAGGTGTAAATAGGTCATAAGTGCTCAGCAAGTGATACATTAAAATGTGGCTAACTAGCCTTTTTCATATCTGTCTCTTTTTCACTCGCGATTAGTGAATCATGCCATCCCACTTTGACGTCTAATCATACGAATTGTTCATGTGTGTATCAGTGTGCCGTTTTTGAAAATCGAATGTTCTTTATGTAGGTACACCATTCACATATCTACACCATTTTATTTATAATATTTTTGTATAGTGGTATAATCTCTGAAATTCTTTTTTACTTTGTCATTTTATTTGGGATTTCTAACCCGTTTGTTTAGTGTGTACCTATGTTAACGGGGTCCATGTAGAAACAAAACTTACCTACATAAGTGTGGGTGAGTCATGCTTTGGCACGAATGATAACCAGCGCAGAGGCCCAAGCATTCTAACTCTCCCCCAATCCTTAAATTTCCAAAACCAAGCCGAACGATACGTGTCGAAGCTTGGCCCACACTTAAAATAAGTTTTCGTCTTTTATAAAATCTACCCTCGCTACAGCAACCTTGCACTTAAGTACATAATTATAAGTGTACTGCTTTATTTGTCTGCACCTTCCAATGGATAAACTAACTGTTGGAGAATGCTATCCAATTAACAGTTTATGCGCAATAAAGTGTACCTATATTATAAATAAATGGAATGAAATAGGTAACCAAAATGAGAAATAAAATCATTATTTTCAAAACTAATCTCATCTCAATAGAATACAAACGTAGGTAAAAGCAATCCAATGAAAATAACAAGTTAACGAATTCAAATCAATACAAAAGAAGCGGGAAAACTAATCCAATATGGCCGATTTGCAAGCGCTTTCGGCCGCCATTAAAATATTTGAAAAGGATCGTTTACAATATCTTTATTGCGCACAACAAATAAGGAAAATGCTAAATTTCGTTATAATAAGGTTCAGTTTCGCTTGTGCCAAGAGCAAATAAACAATAGCTTTATATAAGTGCCTGCCACAAGTCAAGTCGGAAATCGGAAAACATTATACTGATTAAATTCAACAGGAAGTATATAGAGTTATTGATCTATGGTAAATATTTGAGATTGTTTTTCTTCATGATTGCTTTTTTGGACGAGTTGAAATGCTATTGAAATTTAGTTTCTTCGATCTTCGTATAACCTTTATTTAGTAGATTTTTAAAGATATTTATTTAGTATTTTAAAACCTTCGTAAGTCTTAAAATCCAATCTGATAACACACTGAAACAAACTTTACAGATACAAAATCTAGGCTCTATTATACTGAGGAAATGAGAAGCCTCCTTCTCTCAGCATCTCCTCGGGATGGAGCGACGATCTCCGGCCTCTAGAGGACCAAAATGGACTCCAACATGGCGAATGTTCGGGGTCGAGGGTCAAGCGGAACACGACACCGCGGCCCCGGCTAGAAGCAGGAGAATGAACAGGGGAGTTTGTAGTCAGCAAGAGGCTGACACACCCTCTCGCTATACGCCTTCATGCCCTGGGCGAGGGAAGTTAATTGATAATTTTCCCCCGTAAAAAGGCTTTATTTTACTAAAATGATTACTACCGTGACTGTTTATGATGATGATACGAATATGTAAATAGGTTCACAACATATAATAGTTGACGCAGTGATTCGACTTCCGCACGGAAGAACAATATTTGTGATTGTATGTGAATTTGCAGTGCCGGCGTAATGGCCACTGACCCCCTGAGGGAAAATATCGTGGCGCCCATTTGAGGGAAACAAATATCAAGTGTTACATTTTTTATCTGATCCCAAGTAAAATAAAAATTTGCATGCGCACAGAGCGTGGAGCACAGTTCTGAGGGTGTTTGCACTAGGAGAGACAAGAGACTCCAACTTCAGACCTTGGCGCCCCCCAGAATTTGTCGCCCTGGGCCATCACGCCCCCCCCCCCCCCCCCCAAACTGCACTGTGAATTTGTAGGTGCACCCACGACACAGGAGGAAGACGTAGTGTGAAAATTAAGTATATTATAAACTTTCTGGATTCAAATTCCTTAGCCACCACCACACAGCTTAAAAAAGCAAATAGATATTCCTCCGAGTGGTTTCATCAGCTCTATAAAATCGCCGAACACACTTTAATTCAGCCGCTTAAGAAATCTGAGCGTCCGTCGTGGTTGTACATCGGTGGATTTACATAAAAACACCATACGATCAACATATCGTTGGGTAAAAGTTTGTCAAATTGTCTGTGAACGCGCTGCTTGGGTGGGTTGTTGAATTTATTAGATAAGTGTCTAGGTTTATTTGAAGTGCCTACGGCTAAACGTGTTAATGGAATCAAAATAATTTTTACTTTATAGCCATCCGGCTTCATCTAGTTTTTCACATATGAATTGACGTGTAAAAGGGCCGATTTATGGCCTATTTGCAAAAATTAATTAATTGTTTTATTGTGAACTGTTTTTTGTAAGGCCTTACTGCTGATTTCCTAATAACAGGAGAGAATATTATGTCACTACCTGCTTTGCGCCGACATTAGCGTTCCTGACTGTCACTACCTTTTCTGACCATTTAAATGCTTTTTATAAGGCAGTCAACTATTCGAACGGCTCCTCGCTCAATGCAGTCCAAATAGAGAAGCCGGTACTAGGGCGCCCCCTTCCAGAGATGAGCACAGTATTGCATATAGGGCCGAACTTGCGCCATAATAAATTAGCTATTATTACATTTATCCATTGAAATTAGGTCTTCGAAAAAGTATAACTTGTGTGTGTGTAAAAAATCCGTTTTGTGTCGTTATCCGTATACACGTAAGTTGAAAACTTAGTAGGTAAGTACCTAGATATATCGTCAGAATTAACACGTTAAGCACCATGGGGGTCACCGGTGACCTCCGTTAGCGAAGGATTTGCCTTCAACAGTTTTCTGTCGGCAGTCAAAGGCTTAAATAAGTATATCAACATCCAGTACCTATCTACATTTTATATTATAAACTATGTGACAATAAGCTGAAGATAAGTAATAACAATATTAATTTCCAAAAGTATGTATAAATAATAAAGAAAAAAAAACGTCATAACTAAGTATGACTAAAACCTACAAATTACGCGCTTTATAAGAAATACCATAAACAAAGAGCATATATTCTTCCGCGCCGCCGAGCAACGGTAACTGCCCACTCAGCCTAGTGAAACAGATGAAGCAAAAATGTTTATGATACATTAGCCAAATTACGACGGCAAATGTTATCTGTGCGATTTGTTTGTGTTTATCGAGTGACTTTGGAATTTTAGCCGCTGAAGCGATGAAAAACGATGATGTAAATGTAATTTTTAGCTTCTTTTTCTCTTAAATTTTCTACAAATTCTCTATTATAGACGAGAAACATATATTTTTTACATGGTCTGATCTAATAAAATGCTGTCCAATTAAGAACATGAACAATCTT